GAAGAGCAGGGAAATGCTGATTCAGCACCATCCTGCTGAGCCAGCACCGCCGAGGCAGCGAGGAGGGGATGGAGGCACAGCGGCCGCCGCAGGGCAGCTCCCCGGCTCTCCTGTGGGCCCTGTTTTGGGAGGGCTCTGGGCTGCTATCGCAGGTGCTATATGGGACAGGAGAGTGAGGAACTGATTTATTAGGTATCAGTTACCTGTACTATATTGTTTAATTGTATCACCGAGTTCAGCTTGTCCATGGGATTATTTGAAGAGGTGGCATTTTAAAAAAAATTAAAGATACCAATAAAATTTACTGCCTACCCTAGAAATGTTACTTTTTTTGTTCTTTATTTGTCTTAGTATGATGTATTCCACAGGTGTATCTAACAAAGAAACCACCTGCATTTCGCATCCTAAAGCAAGTGACTATTTCACCTATATCCTATCAATTATTCCAAGATGCAAGTATTTCTAAAAATGTCTAGAAATTTCCTATTTCTGAATGAGGTTTAGGACAAGCTGCAATTTTGTATTGGTTTGTTCAACATTTGCATCTGTGCTTACATTGTACGATATTCAAGATGCAGAATAGATCAAAGTCTTTAAAAAAAAGACACAGAAAGGATTAAATTGTGCAGAAAGAAAAGGGTCCACTAAAGAATTTTTCCATTTACTCTGGATGCATCGCTTTAAACACAATTACAATAGACTGTGCCAGATGCCTGTTCTTCTATGTACAGAATGGATAGTTTAAGATTATTTTGTTCAGAGCTGATCCAGCTCATTACCTATGTCCCACGTAAGAGTTCAGAAGGCCTATTTTTAAACATTAAAATAAAGACAGATTGTTTATTCCACTTTATCACAGCATTTTAAAGGAAAAAGGCCCAGGAGACCAAGATGTCCACATAGAAAGACCCCCTTACACAAAGAAGTCACCCACAGGAGCAATTTTACAGATCTGAGTACAGCAAAACCCCTGGTCTGAATAGTGCTACCTAGGCAGCATCTAGATGTTGGGGCTCCTTGGTCTCCCTGAATAATATAACTCCCCCAGTCACAGTAAATGAATTTTGGAAGACATTTGTGTAAGCATACCAACTTTTAAGTTTGCACAAATCCTTTGTTATTTATCTTTCTGCCACAACGGACCTGCTGAATTAATTTTTGGCATTTTAATCTTTCTAAAGAGCAGCAGATGACAGAGCAAAGGCAAGGCATGGTGCAGAGCTTCAAGCGAAGGGACAGTGTTACAGGAGCACAGTGAGAAGCAGAAATGAAGCTCTGTAAATTGATCCACTGCCGCCTCCGAGCAGAGCCAGGTTCTCAGAATCCACCTAATCTCCATGTAAATGTCAGGCACCAAAAATGAGATATTGTTCGGAAATTAAACACAACTCTATTTGCCATTTCCAGCTTTCCGTCTTTCCTCAACAGAGCAACTATGTTGCAAAAAGTCTTGTAAAGATTGCAACAGCGATATGGTTAAAAGAATTACTCAGAAATTATTTTTATATTAATCACCACCAAAAAAGCATTATTCAGAGCCTTGTATGAGTAAATTACAGCTCAACCTAGAAGACCTGGAAAGTTTTTTCAAAGGCAATTTCTTCTGCACATAGCCTCAGGCAAAGGAGCATTCAGGGCAGTAATTTGACTTTACAAAGATGTTTGATTCCTGACACAAGGAAGAAGCAAGATTTATGAAATCAACACAGTGACTCAGCAAGCTCAAAGGCACGGCTCTTAAAGCTCATCCAATGGCTTTTTACACATGCAAAATCCAGGCAAATTTCAACAGAATTCAAGATGTTCTGGAAAATACTAAGGAGGAGAAAACCCCCAGCCATTAAGCCTGTATTAAGTTTAAAAATTATAAGCTGGGGGAAAGGAAGACACAAAAAAGCAATCCATTTTAAAACTATCCATTTTATACTCTGGTTATCCTAAAGGGAGAGAAAAAAACAAGACAGAAACATTGCTGTGCGCTAAACACATGACCCAAAGTACAAAGTCAACATTTCAGCCACCCTGTTAAACCTCTTCGCAAATCAGATGAAGATGACAAATATGACCCCTTGCTCTTTGAAACCACACAGCTGAATTGCACAACCGCACCCCACTCCTGCCTGCTGTCTGCACCAGCCCCCTCCTAAATCTCCGCGAAGTGAGGCAGGGAGGCGGGCGATCCTGGCTGGCATTTAGCAGCCGCTCCTTCGCCACATGCCGATGGCCTTCTCCAAAAGCTTCCACCCTTGCAGCATGTCCCATCTTCAGGATGTCACCAGCTGACAGACACCTGTAGGTACCTGCCTGAAGAGCCAGCACACCCTCATCTAAAAGCCAAATAATTTCCTAAGTGGCTTAGCAAAAGAGAAGTGTTTGCGAGGTACTCATTTTCAAGAAAAGGAACAGAAACATTAAATACACAAAGTATTATACCAAACTAGCTAGTTTTTCAGTATAATTTTCTTCCTGCGGTTTCTCCCTAGCTCAAAGTCCAAGTAATGAATGGAAGTCAAATCAGCATTTTTTTTGGGGGATCAGGCTTGGCAGCTGGTTTTAACAAGCAATTGCAAAATAAGGCTGGACAAAAGCAATGCACTCAGTTATTTTGCGCACGTACCGATCCCTTTAATGAGCCGGCAGTTCGGGAGGGTTACTGGGGCTATTTCCCGTGAAGCATTGAGTCTGCTCCTGCAAGAGGAAAGAGCAGGGTTAACAGCACACAGCTAGTTTTAAAACAGGTAACATTCCTAGCGTAGCTTTATCTTAGTTTTATTGTCTGCCATATCACAGCAACAAATCAGCCATAAAATACTGAATAATCAAAACCCAGAACTGACAACTGCAGTTGCTCCAAATCACTGCGATGGTTACTCACCTCCAGGGATTAAGTGATTCACCTACACTGAATAACTTCAAGAACTTGACTTTGTTCATGAGTTTCAGGAACGACCTGTCATGACCCACCACAGCTCAAATGATAAAATAACATAACCACACTTTCTTCAGGCTGCAGCCACTTAAATATAGTAGCATCCAGCAGTCAGGACCAGCATTTCAGATGAAGAGAGGGCGACCTTCTACCCCAACCCACTGGCTATTTTTGTTGACCAGGCCCCCAGCAGTTGTACTTTTTTAATTTCTTAGTCCACATTCAAAGGTAGCGATAGCATTGCTGCAAGGCAGGACTACCCATTTCCTAACAACAGGTAGGACTCAGTAGCACAATTCTCAGCAATTACCCTGTCCCTTTCTCTTCTCTCCTGGTACCCACCCAGAGCATCATCTTTCAGCAGTGCTTATTTCAGTCCTGAATGCCCACAAAATTCAATCTCCGGCTCATGCTTTACTGGACAAGCAGATACAGACACGTAACGACACATGAGTTCCTATTTCTCTATCTCCTCCATTCCAAGTTGTCTACAAATCTATATGAAAGGCACCTCACTACCAGGACTGCTGTGTTTGACCATGCTGGTCTGCAGTGCCGTAAGAAAATACGTTGTGTTTCTATGTAAAAATGTCAAGCTAGTGTACTAGATTATTTCTTCCTTTCTTTTTTATCTTGGTGAAGAGGAGGCTGAGGGGAGACCTGATCGGTCTCTACAACGACCTGAAAGGAGGGTGTAGCGAGGTGGGGGTCGGCCTCTTCTCCCAGACAACCAGTGACAAGACAAGAGGGCATAGTCTGAAACTGCACCAGAGGAAGTTCAGGCTAGAAATGAGGAGGCATTTCTCCACATAAAGGGTCATTAGGCATTGGAATGGGCTGCCCAGGGAGGTGGTGGAGTCACCATCCCTAGAGGTGTTTAAGAAAAGACTGGAGGTGGCACTTAGTGCCATGCTCTAGCTGACATGGAGGTGTTAGGGCAAAGGTTGGACTTGATGATCCCAGAGGTCTCTTCCAACCTCATCGATTCTGTGGTTCTGTGATTCTTTTTTTTCCCAAAAAACAAGCATTTAAACTAACGTAGCTACTCCTTTGCATGCCTATCACACACATGTGTTGAGGCTGTACTTGCTCCAACCACAGGAAATTCTGAATGCAAAGATCCCATAGCAAAACCTTGCCATGTTTATGTTATAGTTTTAGGCATAAACATAAACTGAACAGCAGTATCAGGCTTTGATATGAAAAATATGCGATACAGCTGAGCACCGTATGGTATGTCAGTCCTGCATTTTTTTTAATCACTTAATTATGAATCGTAAATTGCTTCAGTGTTGTATCATTGACACAGGTTGTTAACGTAACGCCAGAAAAAAAGAAGAAAAAGGGTAACAAGGGCAGAGGACAGAAAGGGAAAGGAGCTAAGTTAAACTGTCCCAAGCCCTCTCCCCCAGCTCAGGACTCCTGACAGAGAATTACACTGGCTTCCCCCTCACCCCCCCAGCATCCCAGCACAACCGAACCCACCAGGCCCCCAAAGGTGGCTTGGGGCGATCATGCCCAGAGTTTGCACTGCTGCCTGCTTTTCCCTTTCCTATTTGCATCAGCTTTTCTTGGGCAGACTGCAAGCCACCCAGCGCCAAAAGCACAGCAGGAACTCAGCCATCAGCCAACGAGGGATGATAATATTCCGACAGCATTCCCAGGGAAACACTTCATGGGTTGGAATGAGAGTAATTCAAAAGGACACTGGTCACAAGCCTGCAGCATATATAGAGGCTTTTCCAAAATGTGTCAGTTTATCTAGCTCAGGCAGCCTTAGCTACTAAGCCAGATGGCCTAGATAACTAACTGGTCGTACTAAAAACACAGCGGACATGCAAACTGTGGGGGATGTAACTTCAAAAAAGGCAGGAATTTTGCTACTTGGTACAACCCCAGTGCACAACACCTTTTCCCACACGGTCCCTCTTTCCAGTTTCAGTCCTCTACCCACTGTCCCATTTCGTGGGACACAGACCACAGGCATTCCCTTTCCTTCAGCAGCAACCTGTTGCATATTCAGAGACTTCTCTCTCTTTCAGTTTTCCTCTTCACTAGACTAATCAGTCCCAGATCTTCAGTTTTTTATTCCCTGACAGGACTGAAAATCATGTCTTATTTTTGGTTTTGTTCCCAATTCTTTTCAAACTGTCAGCATCTTTCTGGAAGCGCACTGCTGTTTTGAACATAGTATGCAAGCTGAGTGCCGTATCAGTACAGCCTTATGAAATGATAACATTGTGTGTGTGTGTGTGTAAACATATCTATATGAACAATAATATCATATGCATATTGTTCTGAGGAAAACAGTAACACAGTATAATTCACATTCAAGTTTTACAAATTAGCTCAGACCTTTCTTTAGAGAAGAATTAGCAATTTAAAATGTCAACAGGGCAATCAGTGAAATTTCAGTTGGTAACACACAAGAACTTCACCTGTTTTCTGCTGCACAAGCCCGACTCAAGTCCAACTGGCAAGAGTTAACATTACCTCCAGTTTCTCCTCTCAAGGCTGTGTTAAATGATTTTAGAGCACTTTGTTATCTGAAGTTGTGTGTTTCCAAACTCCGCAACCATCTTAAGACCACTGCTACGCTGCAGTTTGCTGAAAACACAGCACAAAGGAAAAACCCACAGAGAGCTACAGAGATGGGGAGGAACCTGTTTCTATCAGGAGATTCTGCTTTACCAGATTGCCAAATTGCATTTGCTCATTTGATTTGGAGGGGATGTTGGGTCCCCTGCTCTTCACAGTGCTTTGAAATGGCTTGCCCCACTAAAGCCCGGGAGTGTTTTCCAGCTCCGCGATCCCAGCTTGTGCAACTCCAGGGCAGGAGGGTCCTGTTAACACCCTGGTCGTCACCAACACTTAGGGTGGATTTAGTGCAAGATGCAAATGCATCTATGTGAGAGGTACCTGTGTCCAGGGCGTACAGCTCTCCTTCTGTAATCAGCTACAATTACTATCTACCCAGAGATCAACTAGCTGGATGTCATTGCTTTGAAGTCAGGCATCTGGAGTCCTGGTGGAGGTGAGAAAAATTATAACGATGTAGCTGCCTTCCAACACAGTAATTCACCACCACTTTTCTGGCCTGAAACAACCAGTTAAGTGTTTAGTAGTTTTCAGAACAGGAGCTGCTGTAACACCAGCGTTCACATTCACACATCATGGTATGAGGTGTATGACATAGAGCACGATATGGCTGGGTATTTTATCTCACAGCAAGTGAGGTCCCTACTTATGATGGCAGAAGTCCACACTCCTTCAGAGGAAACCTCACATACACAGGGGCTATTGTTATCCAGGGGTCAACTTCAGTAGAAAACAGCACGAGTTTCTGGTGACCTGATTTCCAATTACTGTTTGGTCAATCAGCAGGAAATGAGGTAAATTCGCAGATACCAGTTTTGGCACATCCCTGTTAGCTGCAGCCCCTGCAAAAACAGAGCTACCAGCTCCCCCTGCCCCAGGGCACCCTCTCCCTTTGGCCCCCTTGACCCCAACATCTTCCTGGGGAGGGTTCAACATCCCCCTTACTGCAAGGGGCACTGCCGCTGGACAAACGCTCCTGAAGTTAGTTTCTGCCTGACGGAGGACGAGAAGGGCACTGCTGAGCAAGTCAGTGCCCAGCTTTTCTCTGGGGAAAACCGATTCCCTTGATAATGATGATGATAGCGATGATGGTGATAATGATGATTAACACATCCCCTCTGGCCGCAACCGTGCTTGTGCAAGGGCAGCTCTGCGCTGAAGTTACGCCCCAGCCAGG